CCTCTGCTGGTCCTGCAGCCCCGCCCTCCCGCAGGCGCTGATCGTGGTGTACGCCTTCCGCTTGCCCCACCTCCTTAACCCCCAGATCGGGCACTCCACCCACCGGGGCCTCTACCGGCGCCACATCCTACACATCGTCCTCCGGGGCCCCGCGCTGTGCTTCCTGGCCGCAGGCTTCTCCCTGTTCTTCTACCCGGTGGTGAGTGGGGGTGGAGGGGGGAGGCGGAGGGGAGGGTGACACCTGGTGGGGAGGGGAGGGCCAGGAGGAGGGCATGTAAGTGGGCACAGCGGGAGGCTTGTCGGCTCATGTCCCCAGGGCCCACCCGTGCAGGTGTCAGGTCCCCCTAGCTTGTCCTCCCCGTGATGGTCCAGGGGCCAGTGGGCCGTGCGCTTCGCTGTCCCTCCCTCCACGGACACTGGGCCGCGGCGAGCAGGGTGCCCAGAGCCCTCTGGGCCCTCCTCTCCTGGGCGAGCGCTCGGAGGTGGGGCTGCGGGTCATGGGTGGGCTGTGATGTTGGGGGAAGCTCCCCGTTTGCCACAGCGGCTGCACCTTCGTGTGTTCCTGCCTCAGTGCACCAGGCTCCCGCGCCCCCTCCTCGCCAGCACGGTGTCTGCTGGTGTGAGGGGCTCGCTGTGGCCTCGGTCCTGTGGGGTGCTGAGGGCCCCGACTCCCCGTGGAGTGGAGCTGGGGTCCTGTATCGGATGTGGTTGGGGGTATCTGCTCCCTCCCTGGAACGTCCTCTGAGGCACCCAGTCCACCTCGATGAGGTGGGAGTCACCGGTGCCCCAGGCTGCCCCGCCCTGCAGAGCAGATCTGACGTGTCTGTGTCTCGCAGTCGTACCTGCTGATGGCGACGGTCATCTTCCTCCCCTACGCCAGCAAGGCGGCCAGCTGGTGCAGAGGCCGACTCGTGGGTGCGTCCGGGTGCTGCACCAGGGCCCAGCCTGGTGCCCCTGGGGGTCCCCTCCTGCCCGCATGCTCCCGGCCCCTCGGGGAAGAGGGAGGCCATGTCTGCGGGTCCACAGCATGTGAGCTCCTCCTCCTGCCACACCACAGGCCCCCGGGAGCCCCCAGCCCCCAGCGTGGAGTTCTTCACCTATGACCTGCAGGAGCCGCTCAGCAAAGAGCGGGTGGAGGCCTTCAGCGACGGGGTCTACGCCATCGTGGCCACGCTCCTCATCCTGGACATCTGGTAAGGGTCCTGCTCAGGCCGCCGGGCGTACTGGGCGGGGCTCCCTGTCCCTCCTCAGCCCCAGAAGGAACCGCCCTGGGCAGGGATCCAGTGTGGGGTCTCCACCAGCAGCCCCACCTGCCCGCCTTGGGGTCCTGCTTTCACTTCCTAGGTTTACCTGCTGCCTGCCAGTCTCCCTCTGGTCTGTCTGTTAATCCTCACGCAAGGATGTGTGTTCCATTGGTGTTTAGAGAGCGGAAGGGAGGAAGGGGGAGAGACACACCGATGGGTTGCCTTGTGCACACACCGGAAGGGGCGGGGATTGAACCTGTAACCCTTGGTGTCGGGGGCCACGCTCTGACCACTGAGCACACTGGCCAGGGCCTCCTCCGTTTTATAGCCTGTGTTCCTTGTTAAGTTTCAGTAGGTCCTATTTCATTGACGTGCTAGGAACCCTGATTCCGTGTTCTGTGTCTGACAGTCTGAGGTCTAATTCTCTCTTGGTAACTCTTTTTACTGTCATAAGTTTTTAAAATTGGGAGTAAGTGTCCACTGGGACCGATCTCTGAGGCCTAGACCTGAGCTTCCGAAATGACCTGTGGCTAGCTCGGCCTCCGTGAGTGGTGTGTGGACTGGCTGGGGTTGGGGGAGGGAGGTTACTGCTTCCACTCTATCCTCCGGGCCTCATGGGGTCCCCTGGGCTCTGTGTCCTGCTTCCTCCTTCAACCCTGGAGCCCAGCCCCCCTCCTGCTGACACATGCGGCACCCCTATGGGGCGCGTCTCAGGCGCCTCACACGGGGACCCGAGAGCTGCCATAGGCAGCGGGGAATTCGAATTGCTCCCTACCATCCCGTCCGCGGTCTGTGCCCCAGTGGACAGGCCCCTGCAGGAGGGTAGACAGACAGCCTCAGGCCTCGGCCCCGGGGTCCAGGCAGGGCCGCCCGGTAGCACAGGAGGCAGGCTGCACTCGGCTTGAACCTAGATGGAGGCCGCGTGGCCGCTTGCTGTACGGAGCGTGTGTGTAAATAGGGGATAAGATGGACGGCGGCCTGGGGCGGGCGCTGACCCACACCCGCGCGAGGCTGCTCAGGCCCCTTCTGTTCCCCTCCCAGCGAGGACAACGTCCCGGACGCCAAGGTCGTGGAGGAGAGGTTCCAGGGCAGCCTGGTGGCCGCGCTGAGCGAGTACGGGCCGCAGTTCCTGGCCTACTTCGGCTCCTTCGCCACCGTGGGCCTGCTCTGGTTCGCCCACCACTCCCTCTTCCTGCACGTGCGCAAGGCCACGCAGTCCATGGGGCTGCTCAACACACTCTCGCTGGCCTTCGTGGGCGGCCTGCCCCTGGCCTACCAGCAGACCTCGGCCTTCGCCCGGCAGCCGCGCGATGAGCTCGAGAGCGTGCGCGTGAGCTGCGCCATCATCTTCTTCGCCAGCATCTTCCAGCTCGCCATGTGGACCGCGGCCCTGCTGCGCGAGGCGGAGACGCTGCGGCCCTCGGCGCGGTTCGGGGGGCAGGAGCACGCCTTCATGTGCGCCAAGCTGGCGCTGTACCCCGGCGCCAGCCTGCTGGCCTTCACCCTCACCTGCGTGCTGAGCAGGTTCAGCACGGCCATCTTCCACAGCATGCAGATCGCCGTGCCCTTCGCCTTCCTGCTGCTGCGGCTCCTCGT